CCACCTCTTTTCGCGAGATATGACGTCGCGCAGACGGAATCGATACTTCAGTTTTAATCCTACGTTATATTATCGGATTTTCAGTCTCTTCTTATTACTCTTATACCTAGATATATGGATAGGTATATATTGTATGTATATATATATATATATATATAAATTCCCTGCATGCATGCTCGAGAAGAATACGCTAATATACAGGATGTTTAAAAATATGTCAGCATAGTTTCAAGGTTAGGCTAAAATAAAAAAAAGTGATTAATTGTTTTCTGAATTAAAATCATCTTTGTTTTTCCGTAATCCATACAAATTTATAAATCTCTTATCTGTCCCTATGATGATTACACGAACTTTTTGGTTTTTTTATTTGAATATACTGAAACCACTCTCATGAAGTTATATGTCAGCATATTTTGAAATATTTTATATGTAAAAGTTTTATTAGATAAATTATTATTATAACATTAAATACATTATTCAATAAATTATTTCGCATCTCTCATATTTCCTCGTATAAATATAATAACAACAATATTATAAATCGTACACGTGTTTACGTATCGCGAATAAACATCTCGAATAAAACATTTCAGCGATAATGCAAAAATAATATTTCTTTTCTATATCATCAATTTTAATTCTCGATAAATTAATTCACATATCTCATATATATACATATATTTTATTTCATACATTAAATATTATTTAAACATTGTAAGTGTTACTATAATGCGTTTTTTATAAATAAATAAAAAACAAATAATAACAAAAAAAAAAGTGCACAAATATTTTACAAGATTTTCGATAAAGTACTTTCCAAGATATTGCTACTTTTCATATTACGTATTTTTGTTCATATTAGGTACACTTACCCTATAAACGGATAAGATACACAAATTTCTATATATATATATATATTACACACACGCACACACACACATACACACGCGCGCTTGTATTGGAAGGAAAGGTTTTTCGAAATAGCCGGACGGAATGGTGGAATAAAGTAATTTGCAAGATAGCCGTGGATAGATTTTTCCTTACAACAGGGTTCCTGTCCGCAGCTCGTTCAGGGGCGGGCCCCTGGTTTGCTTCTTCTGTGAAACTATATTTCCAAGATAGGAGAACGGTTAACGTCGTTTTTAGATAGAAGATAGGAAAATGAGTCCCTCCCCCCTCTCTCTCTTTCTCCCTCTTTTTTTTTCCTTCTCTCATCCAAGAGGCAAATATTTCTTAAAGATATTTCGATCTACCGACTAGATCTACGATCTGGATCCTAGATTTGGATACTTTCTTGCACTAGTAATATCTATATATATATATATACGTGTATTCCAATACTTTTAGGATGTATCTTTACCTATTACGGTTCTTACCCTTCTTTCAGGATATTTTTATCTTCTTGATTCACCCTCCCTTTTTACTTATACCTCTTTCTCTCTCTCTTATCCACCCTTTTTTTCTCCTGTTCTCGACACCCTCACAACGACTCTTCGAGGAGAAGTCTTTTCTCCAATTTGCATAACTTTCCGGCAGGCACGTCGTACTCTGAACAAGGGGATTTCGATGAACCTAAATATCTCTTCCTACGAAGAGAAAAAGAGAAAGAGAAAGAGAGAGGATAGGAGAACAAGTGGTGGGGAGGTGGGGGGGGGTAAAAAAAGGGTGCCTGTTGATCGTTTTATGAAAATTTCACGCTACCTTCCGCTCTAAAAGAGAACTCGGAAAAGGTCGATTTTAGGTTCGACCTCTTTTTTTTATTTATTTTTTCTCTCTCTCTCTCTCTCTCTATCTCTCTCTCTCTTTTTATTTTATATATATACGATCTATTAACGCGTTGACCGCCATGATGGTCACAGGTGACCGCAGATTGTTTTACCTGTGGCGCCACGGTGGTCATCAATGATCGGCATACGTTGAATACTTATAATTGTAAACATTGAATGAACGTTTGCGGTTAACGAATTTTAAATATCATTGTTAATTAAGAGAATATTTTGATATAAAAAGTGCACCATTTAACGATATTAGAGATGTTCATTAAAACGTTATATATTTTATTAAATAAAATCAACTCTGGTATTTCGTTCGTAAAACGTAATTAAAATCTTTATCATATTAAATAGCATTTAATTTCCTGTGTTTAATCATCGTGTATACTTTTATTTCATAGAGATGCATTTGTTTTTAAGGGTAATAATTTATCGTCTAACAGTATATCGTATTAAAACATTTCAAGCATAAATAAGATTGGCCAATGTAATTGGCCGTGGTATACGGTAACCATTTTTGTCGGATTTATATAGAAATATTAGTCAAGAAATATTCTGAAAACTTGTATCAAGTGTGTAATCGAGTGAACAAAGCCGTTACAGTGACAACACCAGCAAAATAAACGTTCTACTTATATAAGAATGTGATTTTATATAATAAGAAAATATACTTTATATCGTTATATTATTAAAATAATGAAAATATTCTTATGGCATCGTAAAGAAAATATCTGAATTACGCATGGGGTATTAAAATAAAAACGATAGACAAATAAAATATTTTACTCGTAAGAGAGAGAGTTCAATCTATCAAACAATTTCTATTTTAAATAGTCCAATTTTTTCTAGACCACTTTTCTCATTTTTGTGGAAAAAAAATTACATGCCAGAATCCAAGCTACTAATTATCCTTAATACGGAATATTATGAGAAACGTTCGTTCACTCGTTATATTATCAAATTTAACGATCGCCAGCAGAATGCAGTCAGATGGTTGAGCAAAGATCGACAGACGGTTTTAAAAGGCGGAAGGTTTTAAAAGGCGTTAAATTTGAAAAGTTGGGATTGATAGTGGTAGAGGTAGGCAGACCGGTGTCGAATTGAACGAGCAGCCGCTGCCATCACTGCATATTTTCTAGCCTAGCTCTTTTCCTAGCTAGCTAGCTAGCAAGCTTGTTGGTGCTGTTGCCACTGCTGCTGCTGCTGCTGCTGCTGTTGGGAAATGTAAATGCGTCCTTTTTCTTTTGGTGCCTCGAGGGAGGCGGAGAGCGATCCTTTTCGAACAGGTGGCAGGCCAGATGCGGTCCAACAGGTAGGAAACTGAACGACCACAATTCTCTCTCTTTCTTTTTCTCTTTCAATCTTTCCTCCGCCATGTTCAGAAATGCATAAATTATAAACTTACGATATCTCTTTGAATCCTACAATCCAAATATCGATATCTGAATTATGTCCTTCTTATACATGCATACGTATATAGTATATTTACATATATAAATATTCATTATCTTGTTTTCCTTAATATTTTCTTCAGAGGTTTATATTTTTTTTTTATAGTTTTTGTTCATTCTCAGATTCAAAGCTTTAACATCCAAAATGCATTTGTGATTCTTTGTTAATAATCATCTACATCTATACCTATAATAAATATATATAAATAAATCGTAAAATTAATTTTTGTTCTATTTGTTTAATTTATACTACTGTCATTTAATGTATTTCATTTATACGAATTGGATTTATTTCCATCTCGAATAAGTGTGTTGGACAAAACACCAAACAAATTTTAATTCTGTTCTCTGACTTTCATTTTGACTTTTCTGATGATTGCCAATACGTTTCCTCCCTTTCTTTTTTTCTTCCTCCTTTTTTCGGGGGTAAAAAAAATTAATCGAATTAACATGTCGACGCAACGATTCGTACGATCATTCGTTTACTGGCGGATTAATTTCATTTCGTGTCTCGACACTCATATTTCCGAGGTTGCCTCCCTCCCTCTAGTGCTTTCGTCATCGATAACAGTCAGCCAGAATATTTTTCATTACACCGCCGCGTCGTCCTACTTTTCGAAGTTCGTTGGAATCGTTTCGACGAAAAACGTTCAAATTTTTCTCCCTCGTGTATGTCTACGAGCATACACGATAAAAAGTATTCGAGCGTTGCTACAATTTTTGACGAGAGAGAAATTATGAAACACTTTGTATATTTATAAACACAAAAATTACTCATTTTTTCCTATGTGTGTACATAATTATATATGGAAAAACAAATTTGTTTTTTTTTTTATTTCTTCTCATTTAAACATTAAACAATCGTTCGTTTAATTATGTTAGCATCCAATACAAGCAATCTAGAAAAATTAAGAATGGAATATTTGAAATATCTTTTTTATTTATAGTCTTTTGTATTGGGAAATATTGCTATCCTACGTTTAATTAAAAATTATTCGAAAATATTTTAGTAAAATTAATCGATCATTTATTTATGGTAACGTTCTATTAATGTTAAGTGGAGAATTCAGATTGACACATTCAATTGTCTTTGTTTCCTTTTATAGATTTTATTTTATTGAAAATCTTTCTACCTCGTATTTTACTAAAAATAACAAAAAGGAAATCTTGAAAAATGTAAAAGTTATTAATCATTAAATTATAGTTACATTCTATGTATTCAAGTGGAGCATTTAAAACAGAACATAAAAATATCTTCGATATTATTTTTTCATTGAAAATTTTTCTCATCTCTTTTATAATAAAAAGGAAAAGAAAGATAATTCGAAAATATTAAAAATAATCGATCGTTTAATTATGGTTGCATCCAATATATGGATGAAATATTTGGATTGGAATATTTAAATATTTACATTGTTTATGATTGAGATTTGATTGAAAATTTTGCAAGCATATTTCTAATAAAAAAAAAATGTACGTGGAAGGACAGGTAAAAAGTCGATCGCATATAAAATAAAGTTAGTCATTCCTAATTTAAGATATGTCGAATATTTTTATGGTATAACGTATCTCATATCTACACTCACACACATTAAAATTGTCCATAATTTCGTTCAACCCGAACGAGTTGATAGACTTTGTTGAGTTATAACTCACACTCTCTACAAAGTTTCACTTAAAAAAAAGAGATGTAATATATAATAATAAAATATAAATTAAATTGAATAATTCTATAATGATAAAAAAACTAATGGATAGTTTGTAATTATGATTTCAGAACAGTTTCGGTCGGGAGGAAGCTCATATGGAATGGCATCGCGTGGATCCTCGCCGAGGAGAAGGGGGCCGATCGCAATAGCGATGCTCGCCATTTTGACGAGCGTCGTCGTGTCGGGCGGTTTTTGTCCGCCACGATGTCGTTGCGACGACGAAACCTTAAAAGCATCCTGCGCTTACGCGGATTTCGAATTCGTGCCAATCCAGCTGAACCCGGAGATACGACATTTGGATTTGTCCAACAATCGGGTCGCGAACCTACACTTGACTTTTGGTTTTTACGGTAACTTGGAGAGCCTTGATTTAAGCTCGAATCTGATTCGTACTCTTGGTACCGACAATTTTTCACTTCAAACGCGCTTGTTAAATCTCAACGTTAGTTACAATTCCATTAGGACCATTGCAAAGAATGCTTTGAACGGTTTGAAATCGTTGAGAGAATTGAACCTGGCTGATAACAATATCACGGAGATGGACGAGCAAGCGTTTAAATATACCAGCGAGTTGGAAGTGCTCGATCTCAGTGGGAACTCTATCACCAGTTTGCCAAAAGATCTGATGAAGAATCTACACAAGATAAGAACGTTGGTTCTAAAAAGAAATTCGCTTTTAGAGGTMCCAGCCGATAACTTAGCTTTGGCACCGAGCCTGGAGAACGTCGATCTTTCGGAGAATCTGATTCAAGAATTAACCAGAGACTCCTTGCCGTCCTTACCGTCCTTGGTCTCGTTGAATCTAGCGGACAATGTGATCCGAAGTATAGCCGACGACGTATTCGATCGATTGCCAGGCTTGTTGCGTCTCGATCTCTCGGGAAACAATTTGACTTCGGTACCAACTGCTGCATTGGCAAGACTTAACGTTCTTTCCAGTTTGATCCTCAATCGAAATCCCCTTGGTACTCTACATCCCGTAGCCTTTCGCAATCTTTTTGAACTGCGAAGCCTAGAATTGGACGATTGCACGCTCGAGAATATCCATGCGAGAGCGTTTGCCGATAACGTTAATCTCGAGCGTATATCTATGGACGGTAATCGTGAATTAAAGGAATTACCTGGACGGGTATTGTACAGTGCGAGATATTTAAAATCGGTTTCTCTGCGTCATTGCAGTCTCGCGACTCTTCAACCAACGCAGTTTCCGGTTGACGATCTCGCTTTGCTACGAGTCGGCGGGAACCCTCTCGTTTGTAATTGTTCAGTGCACTGGCTCTGGAACGTTATCAGAGCGGAAGAACAACGTAACGAGACACGATTGGAGCTCGACACGAACGACATCGTCTGTACGGACGAGGAATCTGCTGGGAAACCACTGATCGCCCTACCGGAAGGATCCTTACGTTGCAGATTGAGTCTTCTCTATCTGAGCTTGTCCGCGACTGGTTGCCTCGCGGCAACAGCCAGTATCCTGGCTTTGATAGCTCATCTTACGAGAGCCAAAAGGAAGAAACGTTTGGCTTACGCGGCACCTAACAGGCCGGAATTTTTAGTTTACGTTGGTAGAAGTAATGAGGATATAGCGAAGAACGCGGAATCCTGTAACAGACGATTATTAGCACGGCACGAGGACACTTCTTACGACACGCCTAGAGCTAAAACAGTTGTTAGGGTGCCTAGATCGCAAGATCGCAACATTTACGAGACACCGAGGTACGCGAGACCCGAACGACGATTAGAAGTGATAGAACCACCTACCTCCATACCCGGTGTTCATGGAAGACAACAACAACAACAACAGCAACAACCACTACCACTACCACATCAACAACAACAACAGCAACAACAACCACCGTTAGACGAAGGTGTCTACGCTGTAGCGGATGTAACCGGTCTTCGAGAAGAACCACCGGAAATGTTATCCCTTTATCGTATGCAGAATACACGAATGAACGTACAACGCGCTGATTATGGTTACGATTATGACTACGATTATGATTACGAGCCACCGCTTCCGGACAAGCCTCACGTTGTCTTCGTTTGAATGAAAAACGGAAGGAAAGTGTATGTGAGACGAACAGAGATAGAGATAGATAGATAGAAGGGATGAGAGTGAGAGACAAAGAAAGAGAAAAGGAAAAGAGAGAGAGAGAGAAAGAAAGAAAGAGAAATAGATAGATAGAGAGAGAGAGAGAGATAGAAAGAGAGTTTCTTGATTCCGTTGTACGTTAAGAATGATCTCGACCAAATCGAGATTCCAATCGCGCTTTTCCAACAAATATCTCTCTCTTTCTCTCTCTTCCTCTCTCTCTCTCTCTCTTTTTCTCTTCCTCTTTCTCTTTCTCTATCTTCCCCTCTTTCGTTTTCTCTCTTTCTCTGGTCGTTTCGTTCGACAAGAACAGCTGCGCTTCTTCGATCTTTTCGAGAACGAACTTACTCGTTTGGGAATGTCTGAGATAACTCGTCGATACGTACATATTGTGTGTTCTTTACCCCACCCCCCCTCCCCATCAACCCTTCTCACCGTCACTAGTACGTACGCGTGTACACGCGCACGCGTGTGTTTGTATATGCGTGTTATATATATTTATATCCAACTAAAGGTTTGATTTTGTTTGAGTTTATTTTTTATTCGATTTTTCTCTTATCCCCGGCTTCCCCTATTTTATTTTGATTTCATTTCCTTGTTTTCTATACCTATTTCATTCTCTTGCTCTCGCAGTCGCTGTAACCGGATAGAAAAGAAATTTTGGAAAGGACACTTGGACGATCGGACGACTCGATACGATCCGTTATATCGAATATCGGTTATATCGGACTACGAGGAGGCTCATCGAATATGTTGTTACATTCACATACTTTATTTCGAATATTATATATTTTTATATAAATTTTTCGTTTTATCTTTTAAAACCTTATCCGTAAGAAACATTTCTCTATCTCTTTCATTCGA